GACTGGAGGCCCGTCTGCAGCCCATGGATGTTCCCGGACTGGAGGCCCGTCTGCAGCCCATGGATGTTCCCGTGCTGGAGCTGGGAGCTGAGCCCAAATAGGTCTGTGACTCCATGGGAAGCTGCTTTGGAACATCTTGTTCCTGGACTTTCATGCCAGGAAGAACAGCAGAGGTGAACTGACTGAACCCCCATTCCCTGTCTCCTGTGCCACTGGGGGGAAGAAGGTAGAGAAATCAGGAGCAAAGTGATTTGAACCGGGAAAGGAGGGAGGGTTGGGGGAAGGTGTGAGATGTGGTTGTTATGTCTCACTGTGCTACTCAGATGAATGGCAATGAATTAAATTGATTTTTCTTCCCCAAGTTGAGTCTGTTTTGCCTCTGACCATAACTGGTGAGGGAGCTGTCCCTGTCCTCATCCCAATCTGTGCCACCACACCTAAGCAGAAATCTATCCTAGATAAAAGTGACATGACTGTCCTATATACAAAATAACAATTGCTCATTTGAATTCTGCCTACCTAATTCTTCAGTATATGAACAAGTTACTTTGTGACAATTTGCCTATATTAGACTCCTCCCCTCCTACACTGTGTGTAGAAGAGGTCCAGCCTACAGCAGTTGTGTAAGAGCAGGACCAGCAAGAAACTGAAGCCCTGTCAGGGCCAGTTCTTTTGATCAAGGCTTCCACCACAACATCTAAAGCTATCCTTAAACTAGTCTGGCTCATGTCTAGTGAAAGCCAAGATCCCCTTTCCTAAGATATTGTCCTGGTTTTTAGCTGGGACAGATCTAGGTTTCTTTTCAGTAGCTAGAATAGTGCTGTGTTTTGCTCTCAGCCTGGGATTTTTTATGAGAGAACCACTGATAACGTACCAGTGCTTGCATTTTTGTCACTGGAAGTGAAGGACTTTGTATTTTGTTAGTCTACAAGAGCAAGATCAAAGGGGGTGAGGAATATTTGAATTAATAAGCTAAACTGGAATTTGGATATGCCAATGGGATATTCCAGATCATATCCCATCATTTTCAGTGTATTAGTGAGGGTCTCTTCCTCTTTTGGTCCTGCCTCTGGCTTTTGCTTGGGCTCTCACTCTTCCGGGATTGTGGTTTTGTTTCGGGATTGTCGCTCCTCCGGGATCTGGGAACGGGCCAGGCTTGGTCATGAGCAGTTGCCCTGGGTATCACTCATTTGCATATTTTGTTACTATTATTATCATTAGTATTTTAATATTAGTATTATTTTAAGTTTTATTTTACTTCAATTACTAAATTGTTCTTACCTCAACCCACAAGTCTCCTTACCCTTGCCCCCAATTCTCTCCCCTATCCCCTGGGGAAGGGGAGGAGTGAGTGAACTGGTGCCAGTAATAATTGCCCCACATTGGGTGCCAAAAAGACTGTGGTGGTTTCACTTGGCTCGTGGCCAAACACAGCCACTTATTCACTTGAAAACCTCTGCATGCCATCAGGTGAATTTAATCTTACCTGTGCTTGCACATCTCCTTTCTCTGCTAAAAACTGATAATACTGAATCAAGTCTTCTTCTAGCATCCCACTTGCCATTCCTGGATTTTCTACTTCATCTGCTAAGCGAATTCGCTGAACCACTGTGCCACCAGTCAAAGAAATGTCACTAGCAACTGAAAACCAGATAAAATAATATTTTCAGACAGTTTTGTTCCATACAAGTATTACACTGCAACTTAGTAAAACCAGATCTCTACAGAGCTTCAAACTGTTAGTCAGAGAGAATCAATTACTTTGACTCTCTCTAAGAATTAAAGACATTTCAGTAGACAGAGATAAAAAAAGCATATCATGATTCAGAGCCAAACATAACTTGTTCAACAGCAGGTTTTAGCAGGAATTTTCTATTTTTATACTATGCTGATAGTACTTCTAGTATCTTCTAGGTGAATGATACAGAAATACACATAAAGCCAAGAACATCAGCCCAGTAAGAAGTTTTTACCATGATTGGCTACAAGTCGGTAGTGAGTGAGAGCAGATTCACAGCTCTGAAGGACTCCTATCCCAGCCCAGTACCGGTAACCCTAGAAAGGAAAATATAAATATATGGGACTATTGGTCACTTGACAACATACTGCTTGCCAGGTTACAAGCTTTTTTCACATTACTTGAGCAAGATTTAACAAGACAATAGACAAAATGAAGGCCACAAGTCCATTGTGTCTGCATTAAAAGCAACTGACTGATAGCATTAAAGCTTAAGCACAGCCAATATACTTCAGATATTACTCAGGAAAAAGCAAATAAGCAGAATTATACTTATGGGTGAAAACCTAAAGCCTTTTCCTTACACATGTTGCACTTTATTTGCCTTAAATCTCACAATACTGATTAAAACAGTTTCTTCTGTAAAGATCTCTGGCTTTCACATTTCTCATTAGCTTATAAAAATTAGAAGTCTGACACTACTGCTTTAAGTCAAGACTTGTAAACATTGTCCATCTAAATTCATAGTGGTACACAGCTTAAAATGAGCAGAATTTTCTTTAAGTTAACAAGGAATAACAGGGAAGATACTATTGCCCACCTAATGCACGCATGATGATCTAATATTTGGACACTGTATTCACATGAAAGCAAATCTCACATTAAAAATATAAGAGTACAAAAAAAGTTATTGCATTTGTAATGTTAGTAGCTATCATACTTACCAAGATCATATGGGCAATCAGATTTCCTCCTAAAGCTCCAAAAGTGTAATACACCAGGGCCTTAAAACAAAATCATTGGTTATTTAACATCTGTCTCCAAGATAAAAATAGAGGAGCACACACTGAAGACTTCTAAGTTACCTTAGCTTGACTAGAATTGACTCCTAGACCAGATGCATACAGAAATCCAAGAGCCTAGAAATAAAATAAAGTTTGTCAGCACATTCTTTGAAAAATCCAGGATCAGTTTTCCTGAAATACACAAGTATAAAGTAGTTAAACAACAATTCAAAGCTGCAAAGAATATGCGAAGCTCCACCTTCACCTTGGTACCTCCTGTATCTAGGCCCTTCCCTGCCCCTTTTACTGTATGAAGTTTATAAATTATTCAGTTGCCTAGGACACTAACATAAATACATCTTACCAGAATTCAGTTTAGTGGATTGAACACAAGGAAGAAACTATTTCCTGAATGCCATATGTAGGTCCAAAGGTTCTGAACAGTAGAAGTAACCCAGTTTAAAGACCCTCAAGTGAAGATCAGTAATATCTGTCAGGTTATTCATGTATCCTATTTGTCTCATACATCAGAGCAAACATATATGAACCATGACCTTCTCTAGAAGAGTCTTAATGTCTGATTTACTGTCTAACAGATCCTACAAATTTACAATTTTGCATCTGTTCTGCCACGGGTTAGCTGCATTTATGACTATAAATATAAGTGGTTAGATGCACAGAGCTGTTTGGATTAGGTTTTTTCAAATGTTATTTTATTCTTAAAATTTACATAATTACTGTTTTATCTTTAACACCTGTTACAGCTGTGTGGCTCAGAGAAGAAACTAGAAGCACAGAAGAGAACAGTATATATAGAAAGGTGTCTATATTTCACAGTGTTCTAAGACTATTCTAGGCAATTCTGAAAACACACACACACACAAAAAAAAAAAATCACCTCATGCAGACAGTATTGAATTCTAGACCAATGAAAGTCAAGGTCTTAACTGACAGATAAAGTATCTAGAGAAAACATATTTCTGCTTTCTATGGTAAATAAGCACTCTAACGTTAAACAGGGAACAGCAGGAGACATGGTAGCCAAAGAGCTAAAAGAAACTGGTAATTCCTAAAGAAACTGACACTTCCAAAACAAAAGAGAACTAAACAATTAGTAGATGCAGATATTCAAACACTAAAATTGATAACATCCACATTTTATGACGTTATATGTGAACAATTACATTTGAACAATTCCATAATGTTCAAAGTCACATGGACAAAGTGAGTTCCATTCCACTAAACAGCTTTCAAGATCACTGAGATTACAACCTCCTAGATTATAAACTTGTGTGTGTGTTTATCTACCTATCTTAAAGGTGAAAATGCAGATGAAAAGCCACAACATCCCACACAAACCAAAAGAAAAAAGTAACAGAGTTTCAGAGAAGATTTGTTGTTTGGAGTCACCTCTATCTACCCATTTTTTGACTTATACATCCAATCTAGTCAGTCATACAACAGATAAGAAAATTAAAAAAAAGATCACCACCATACTGTCTTACTGGTAGTGTAATGCTGTTTATTTAAACTCAAAGAGAAGACCTGTTTCCACGTGTTTACCTTGAGGGTGCAGGTGCCATTTGTTTTGCTGCACCCTCAGTAACGCTAGCAGCATACAGGTAAAGCAGGTAAAGCAGAAGCATTTGGGGGACAGTCTTTGAACCAAAGGAAGGCACTGGTGAAATTTAAAAGGTAAAAGGCAATGAGCAGTCAGGATAGGAAATGCTCAGGCAAGCATTAATAAAATACATTTCCTGAATCAGAGCCTAAATCAAGTTTTCAAACAACCTAAAAAAGCAGCACTCAGTCTGCTGTCTTTTTTAACCAGGCAACAGATACCACTTACTGTTCTTACTCTATTCTGGATGCAAGAACAATCTATAAAACCACCTTAGAATAAGTACCATCTATAAAACAATTTCTAAACCTACAAAAACTTCTGTAGAATCTAAGGACATACATACCATTTGTCCTTTAGGAGAACCTTCTTCTGTTAGTTTTTCAAATAGTTCTTTTGATGACTGGATGTTCTGCTTCAGGTAATCCCCAAACAACAAAGCATAAGACACTTTTTCCATTGCCTTGGTATGATTCATGTCAGCAGCTTTCAGAAGATATTGATATGCTCTTAAAAGAAAACAATTTCTTAGTCGCCTTGAGGCAAAGAAGTAGATTCCATTCATAGACCTGAACATTCTGGGGAGGTGTTTTGTTCCTCTGTTTTAGCCTCCACTTTTGACAAATGTATCTACCTACAGTAATTTGTTTCAGCTCCAAATAATCAATTTATGCAACAACTCATATGATTCTGCTAATAGATAAACTGGATTTTAATGTTCACTCTACTCCATATGCAAAACAGTATGCATTTCCTACCTTGTAAGATATACCAAAAATTTAAGGTCAAATGACCACATTTTCCTAGCAACAATTTTAAGTCCTGTACTAGATAGCTAGTAGGACGACTACTCTGACAGCTTCAAAGAACATGATAGAAAAAAGAAGCCTGAAAAACACTATGGAGTCTCTTTGATTTGTTGAGTACAAAATCATTCCAATGAAAACAGTAAGTGTTGGGTCCAAGACAACTGCATACATTTTGTGATGAAACAGTCATGCTAACAATTGGAAAGTTCTTTGGAAACTCTTTCTATTTCAGCCTCAGAACTTACAGTAGTCCTCCAAGGTAATTTCACAGCAGCTGGTTTCACAGAAATTTAAAAAACTGTAATCTTAAACATCATAACACAGTACTGTCAAGCATGCTTCAGCTTGATTTCTCATGGTTCTCTGATAGCATTCCAAGATTATTTTTTTTTTACCTCTCCTCTTTTCTATTCTCAGATTTGTTTTCTTTCTTTAGGACAGGCTGAAGAACACCTGGTTTCTCACATAATTTCATCTTCTAAGAAAGTATAAGGTGTTCAAAAGAACTAAGATCTAATATTGTTTTACAATTCCTATGCTATTTTATACAAAAGAATAGTAGTCAGAATCTAACAGATACTGTCTCCCTTTGTCTTTGGCAAGATGTGATGGACAACCCCTAGCTGTGCTTCAGTTTCCCCGATACATGAAGTAGAAATACACTCCCTTATATCTACAAACAACTTTAACATGGCAATAGTGCTCAGATAAAAATCAGCAGCCTGAAGTCACAACTTACTCATGAAGCTGTCAACGTGAGTACCAGGGATTTCTAAATTAACATAGCTGTTCTTAATTATTGTGGTAAGCTGACAACTATTTAATCAGAAACTGGATGTATATAGAGTAGGAAGTAAACAGATCAGAATTAACAGAACACTAATTTAATTCTTCTTTTTTTTTGTTTCATCTACAAACATTACCCTTTTCTCTCATACAATGTTAATTATTGGAGCTTTAACAATTTGTTGAGATTAAGTTTAATACTGTTTTTATGGTGACCGAAAACATCAGAAAGTAGGACAAAAACAGAGCAGGACAGGAAATGCTGATTTTTCCCGCTTAAATCTTTGAAACAGAATGAGAACCAGAGTGTAAGAAACATTTGGAAAAGGACAATTAACTTGTATGATGTTCTCAGTTTTTTTTCTGGGCAGCTGCCACATACAAATTGTAGTTAGAGAACTGCAGCACCATCTTGCATTAAGTCAATGTTTTGACAACATCCACTCTTCAGAAGTTAACCTTACACAATTTTTAGTGGATTCAGAGGAAAGCAGGCAAAAATTTGTTCTTCTAAATAGCCCCCAATTACTATTTCTTTTCAGTAGTATCACTGCATAGTTTGATGCCAAGTCCAATAAAATGCAAAGTCCCAGGGCATCTAATTTAAGTTATTTTTCAGTTAAGCCAGAGTGACCAGCCACGTCATCCTCTTGTTGGGGTACAAGAGATAGACTTACTCTTTCTTCTGAGCCTTTTTACTGCTTTCATTAAGGATTTTCATTCCAGTCTGATAAACATCCTCAGCTTCTTGCATCTGCCTTCTCTTATTAGACTGTTCTTCAGCTAAAAAAAAAAAAAAAAAAAAAAAAAAAAGGTACATTAAGAGCTCCAATTACATAGCTCAAGACTATTCTCTCAGAATTCCTATTGGTTTAAAAGGGAACATACAGCCAGAAATATGTTTCTGAAGACCAATAATCAACCCAAACGATTACAAAAAGCTGTCTAAAGGAGGTGTTGGATATCTTGGTAGACAGTTTCTTCTCATGTGATGTCTCTCGTGTACAAGTTTACTGTTAAAATATTATTTTAATTGCTCCAAAGCAAACTGTGCAAGGAAGAAAGGTTCCTCCTTCAGGACATTTCCTAGAGAAGGGTTGCCTTTGTGCAACAAATCAGCAAGCATACAGGGAAACCCTGTCAAATTCCTATACTCCTACAGCCTCAGAAACTAAATAAGATTTTGATAGATGCCTCCACTGCAAGATTTCCCAATAGCTTAGGAAAGTGGCATTTGCATTACAATCTTTTCCATCATGAGAACTTTGCCTTTATAACTACTTATATATCAGAGTACAAAGTGGCCATTAATATATGACAGGGACTTCTAGACCCTGAAATAAAGGGCATTAAGAGAACTGAAAATATTAGCTTAAGAGAGCTTGGACAAGAAAGAGACATCAGGTCACTTACTTTCACAGAAGCCCCACTTTTGATCTTTCTTGTAATCATAGGTTGTTGCACACCAAAGCCTGCCATCTTCCCTCCCATCTGCAGTGCACTCTGCATACTCCTTCTCCATGAACAAAAAGGGGAAGTGGCAAGGTTCACCATCGGCAGTGCCTCCAATTGCTGTCAAAACTGAAAATACATACCCAGGAATTAGGCTGCTTTCCTTTATTCCGCAGATTAACATAATCTACTACATATAGAAATTAAAAACAACAGGGGAGTGCTTTCCTATGAACTGCATTTAGACTAGTTTTCAGTAAAATTTGTAATTTACTGAGAGCAATTAATTTTCTAAACAGCACTTGAAAAGATGTTTTTAATTAGGAAATGAAACAGAAGGTATGTGGTTTCTTATATTCCTTAGTTCTAAGCAAAGAGAATATTTTTTAGACTGGAGAAGGCAAATCTCAGTTACATTTTTATTGCCTAACAAAATAAACAGCCCTTCCTTTCACTTTCTCTTCTCTGCAATCCCTTCCTCATGCAAAAGACTACCCTCAAAGTGCACTCCAGTACATATATTCAATTTAGCCCCAGGGCTAGACTTAATCATGACAGAACCACTCACATCACCGAATGTGATACTGGAAGTACTTGAGTATCAGCAGGGAGCACACTTAGAACATACAGCTGTAAGAAAAGACTTAAATGAAACCACTGTGAGTCCAGTCGTTTTCTGTTGTTGCAAATACTTATACGGAAAACTTTATTTCACTTCGCTGTATATTTAAGCTGCATTCAAAATTACTTTGAACAGCATGAATTATTATTTCTAGAACTTCAAAAGCTACTGATTACAGTATTGCAATATTTTCAAATAAAATCAATCTTCTATGAAGACTAAGAATTATCTCTGTTTTTTGAAAATGAAATTATTTCAATTAGCCTTTTATAAAGGTTTTGCTCTTTCCATAAGCTAAATCCAGCAGCTGGGTTCAGTTTCATTTGAGACGTTTGCAAAGTCATGTAATTGAGAAAGTCAATTATATGGTGTTTTTTCAAGTTAAGTTCACAACTCTTGGGGTTATAGAGAAAGCTAGTTCTTTCTTTCTAGGGTCTAGAGTTGTAAGGCCAATCAAAAAAAAACCCCAAACCAAAACAACAATTCAACAAGTCAAAAAATTGATGATTTTTTTGAAGCACAGGGAAGTCTCCAGGATTAGTCAGCCCATTCAAATTGCTCTTCATAATTTGATTCCTTGGCAGATGTTCTACCACACCACTCCAATTTAATTATCCCATAGCACTCAAGGAAAAAATGTTATTTTCAGAAATTGCATTCAAAAAATAATGTGTCCAGATGCAATTAGCCTGGAATAATTTTAGATGTCTGTTAACCACAGAGTAATGCACAAACTCACGCTAAGGGTACATATAACTACAACTGATGGGACCTCTTATCACTGTCATTTGAACAAACTCCAGGGCCAGGATATTAACACTACTTGAGAACTTGAAGTTTTACTTGCACTGGTTAGTACTTGTCTCCTGTATTGAAACCAACTGGACACGAACCGTTTACACAGTGCTCTGCATGAGAGCTAGCTGTACACTCAAGTTATGAAATTACTCTGCCCCAGTCCTTCCCCTTGCCTTTTTTTAATTCTAAATTCAGCCATAATGCTGTTTTTCCCCTCAGACAGTAACAAACACTAACCCCTAAAGCAACATAGCAGTGCGAGCACAGGATAAAATGTTCAGAGTTATTTTATTATGTACTTAAAGAATGATAAAATACAAACTGAGGCAAATAATTTACTCTGAGGATAAATTACTTTGTCAAACTGAGCATGCAAGTAGCAATTTACCTGTTTCACTACATCTGAATAATGTATATGATATTTTATAATTATATTTTGTCCTTATTTACTTATATCTCATATTTTATGCTGCAGGAAACCCAAATATACCTTACTTATAAGTAATGATTACATTACTGTAAGATTCCTCCAAATAGGATAGCAAATGCAGCAGGAATTCCCAGCTCTGTATAAACTTGTGGACAGTTTTCAGCAAAAACTGTTAGTATGGAACTTGACTGTTACAAAAACATACAACACACAAAAAAAATTAAAAATACAATTTTCTTTACACACAAGACCTCCTCACTAATCAGAAGAGAGCAGGACAACTTCTTTCTTAAAAGGTTAAAAGCCTTAGTAGTACTAATCCTAAATTACTGAGGATATTTTTTTTCTGTTCAATATCCTGTAAAATACACATGGAAACTTGAAGACTATTGTTTTTTTCCATTCAATCTCACAACCATACACAGGAGCCAAACCATGTTTAGAAAAGCTTTATTCTCCCTTAATGCAGCCCTGTCACCAGTAGCTCATTCAAGACATGTAACACCTGTACCTGAGGAAGACTGATCTCCTGCTCAGTTAAAAAGTCTGCCAGTAAAGCTGTCCTTCAGCAGTTTTTTTTCCTGCCAGAATACAAGTATTTTTCCTTCACAATTGCTTTTTAGATAAAGCCAGTAATTCTTCTATCCACATTGCCCTTTTACTTCATAAGAGGTTCCAAAAACTGCACAAGACTTAAACTCAGGGTTTTTCAAAGTCACTTGCAGTACTTTGACAGGTGTAGTTAAAAACCTTAGTTGCCAGGGAGCAAGCCATCTGGTTACACCTCTCCGATGTGACATTAAAAGTATCTTAAAGTTTGCTTCTGAAATAGACTGCACTGACTAAATAGGGTGCTTAGCTCACTGGTTTGTGGCAGCAAGCTATTTAGTGGTTTTTCCTGTACAACACCACACCTACCAACAGCAATATTTAATCCTATTACTGAGTTTTTACAAACCATGTTCTAGTTCTGAATTAATAAGGCAGGCTTATTAGAAAACACTGAAAGTTAGTATGTAACAGAGCTCATTCCATAACTCCTGCTTTCTTTTGACATTTGAATATGAATTGAGAATACAGACAAATACTATTCCCATGTAGCTATATTTTTTTCAGTAAAGTTGAAGATTTACATTTTATGGACAAGTGACAAGGAAAAGTCTTTGTTGCATAGGCTTGGGTACTTAACTGTGACATCAGTTATCATCCACTATTAACAGCATGTCAAAAAATAATATTAAAATAATATTAAATGTATATTTTTATTAGTAGTAAAAAAGAAATACTAGATGGAAACAAGAATTATGGAAAAACCTTCCAAATGGATCTAGAAATAACCACTAAGATTTAAATCACAATATATTTGAAAACTCTTTGATGTCACTTTCTAATAGAAAAGGCAGCAATTACCATTCCATTCCAGAAAGGTTGACACTAGTTATTTCATATGTCTAAAATTACTCTCTGTGTTCATCCACATGCCAAAATTATTCAGATGCATTTTTCTTGCCACTTGTTCAAAAGTCTGTGGGCAGTTACCTGGACTCTGTATTTCTGCTTCTTCCAAATCCTTATTTAATAGATTTGACATTTCTAGAGAGTTCAACTCTTCCAGGGAATTCTCTTTTTCCCCCTCTTGACTGTGAAAGTTCTCTTCATCCTCTGATTGAGAGTCTGATTTCCCCGATTCAAGGAAGATCTGACCAGCTACCACTCGAGTTTCTGTGGAATGGTCCTTTACCTGGTCCTCTGCAGATAAAGTCTGAAGGAAAGCAGCCACATAATTTAGAAGATTAGAAACTGAACGGCAGCAGATGGCAAAAAAACCATTACTTTTAAAAGACAGGATTAATTAACATATTGAGTGTAAACAGTAGCATCAAAGATTGAATTACTGCTATCAGCTCTCACTGACTCTATTTCTTTCAGTTTTCTGAGAAAATTCTTTTTTCAAAGATATAACACAACATTAATTCTTCTGATGCACAGAAGAAATTAATGAGACAGCATGAACAGTTTAAAATAGGAATCAAATCATAGTTCTGAATTTCAGACCTTTGCTCTCACTACACAAGAAAAACAGAATGACTAGAAACTTATTTCCTCACCTTTGACTCCAGTGATTCATCTTGATTTCCCTCTTCATCTAGAAGAGATGTTGTAAGTCAGTAAAAAATCTTTTCCATGAGTAATTTTCTCAAAAATAAAAATATATTTAGCTATAATATTGTACCATAGGTTTGAAAAATGCTAGTGTACTAAGTTGACTAATGCACTTCAGAAAGACCTTGTTAGTGTTGTCAGGAAGAATCAAATGTTTCACAGACAACTCTCTTCTTCCTTAAATTACACCAACACAACTGTGTGTCCAACATAGGAAAAAAATGTGGATTTTTTTTTTTTTTTAAAAAAAAAGAAAACCTCAAATCAATCCTCTAGATTACTACACAGTTTAAGTTGTTCCAGTACAACTAAACTACTTAAGAAGGTATGCATCAAGTGAAAAGGGCCTATGGAACCTAAGGCTTTTAGTCACCAAATCAGCTTTAGTATAAACAGCTTCAGTAGTGATCAGAAAGTTACATTAATACCACCCCACTTATAGTTAAAAACACTGTTCTTCAAAATTAACGCCAATTAATTTTGCCTGATCAACATATTCAAACCTTTACATAGAGGTCTCTCTTCAGAACTGTGAGAAATTAGTTTGCCTAAGATCCTGTTCAAGAGCTGCAAGCCTTGTTTAAATGTCATCTTTCTTATCTGAATGGGCTGATATGATACTTGATTAGAAGGACTGGAAGGAGAAGAGATGGTAAAGAAGAAAGGCTATTAGGCAGAAACCTAAAGGAACAGAGGTGAAAAGGAGTGAGAAGATAATCAGAAAAGCTTATTTATGACAGTTTTACCATGGTTTTGCAGAATCACAGCTCTTATTTTCTTTGTTCCTGTAACTTAAATGGGCTACTTGTTGTGCTCTGAACAACTTGGTTTGCACTATTATCTCAACTGAAAGCCTCTAAAATTATCACAGTCGAAATGTGACTGTTCTCAGCCATCACTATCCAATACTGCCTCTTTTAGGTAAACAAAACCCCCCAACATTTGAAAGAAAATGCTACAGGCCTTCCTCTCTCTGGAACACAACTCACTTAAACCAAGATAAAAGCATAAAATATAAACAGATGACTAAGCAAATCTGCCACTAACTCTTGCTACATTTCGAAATCCCCACTGCTCCTGAGACTCTGTGGTATGTAGTGTCCTATAGCAGTGGCAAGGTGCTTGACAGGTTGGAGACCTGCACTATGACTAGAAAAGGTACCTAAACTGATAGAAGTTAGTGCCCTGTACATGAGACACACCATTTAGTATGTTACGGTTAGCTACTGAATGACAACAAAACTCTCCAGAAATTTATAGAACTCTGCTGACTTTCTGTAAGCATCTGGCAGCAAACAAAACTTCTATGCTTTTCACCCTCATGCAAGTAAAGTGTCTTACCAGAGATAAATCATCTCTGAAGTGACAAACTACAAACATGACACTTCTTGGGGTGCAACAAGCACTGCATTGCGAGCTGGTCAAGGGAGGCGATCATCCTCCTTTGCTCTGCACCAGTGTGGCCTCACCTCGAGTACTGGGTGCAGTTTTGGGCACCACAGTGTAAAAAGGATCTAAAGCTACTAGAGAGTGTTCAGAGGAGGCCACTAAATTGGTGAAGGGCTTAGAGGGGAAGCCGTACGAGGAGAGGCTGAAGTCACTTGGTTTGTTCAGCCTGGAGAAGGGGAGACGGAGAGGAGATCTCATCGCAGTCTAGAACTTCCTCACAGAGGGAAGAGGAGGGGCAGGCACTGATCTCTTCTCTCTGGTGACCAATGATAGGACCAGGGGAAAGGGCAGGAAGATGTGCCAGGGGAGGTTTAGGTTGGACATTAGGAAAAGGTTCTTCACCTAGAAGGTGGTGGAGCACTGGAACAAGCTCCCCAGGGAGGTGGTCATGGCACCAAGCCTGACAATATTCAAAAAGCATTTGGACAACACCCTCAGACACATGGTCTCAATCTTGGAGTTGTCCTATGCTAGGGCAAGAGTTGGAGTCGATGATCCTTCAAACTCACAACATTCTATGATTTTTCATGTTTTAAAGGTTGTCACTATAACAGAGCAATTGCAGGTATTTGCAATGAAAGGGCTAATCTGGGAAGCCAGATTCCAGAAAGTGATTTCCACATTGTTATTTAATGTACAATGTTTGATTAGGACAAGTAAAAAGATGAGGATCAACTTTAAGCTGTAACAGCATGACAAAAATAAAGAAGAAATACTAAGACTTAATAAGTGAAGCTGCAAAACTAAGGTGACAAAGAAGTTTGACAGTGCAACTGAGACAAATAGAAATAGCCTGTTGAGCACACTGAAGAGGATGTAAAGCTCAAAACATTTGACTCCCAGCAGACACAGGATTAAAAAGGATCTAGAACAGTGGGTGTGGGTAAGCATCTGTAGCCTAGAGGTCCAAAAATGAAAGCATGTAGAGCCCTTCAGAAAAAATAGCGGAGACAGCAAAGAACGCTCCAGATGAAACAGACCCTGCAAATAGCAACCAAGACAGCATAAGAGCAAGCACCAATCTGGGGAAAAAAACACCAGAAGAGGCATAAGAAAAAACAAGTCTAGTTGCATTTTTGGCAGAGACCACTGTGCTTATCAGCTTGAGGAATCTAACAGATAAGGCTGATTGTGATAAGTCCTAAGAAATTCTACCACTGAACTTCCAACACTTCAGATCACCATGTAACAGTCAGTTTTCAAATACAGTAAAAGTATACACGCATTTAGGATACCTGCCTGTCCTTTCTATTTTGAAACTATGAGACAAATTTGAAGTTACTAAAAAAAATTACATTTAACTATCCTAAATAATTTTGATCTAAAACCAAATGCCACCCCTGTAACTTCAGACTCCAGAGCTTGTTGAGATATTCAGACATGCTTCTGGAGTGGAGGAAAACTAAGACAGGGTTAGCCTAACCAGTAACTTGTATGCTGCTATTAATATATACAAAGCACTTGCAGAGTACCTGTTACAGAAACATCATGTTGTTTTTAACAGCTATACCAGCTAGGGAATTCGTTTTTGTCTGCTCAAAATCAGCCTATAGGCCTGACAGCACTAGGCCATTCTAGCTTTTTGGTAAAGGCTTTACTAACTGATTTCAATTTGTGGAAGGCTGACTTTACAATAAAAGACCACACAAGATCAAATGTAAATAGGGTATACTGTCTATGCATACATATCAAAGAACAATTCTATTGCAACTTCATATGCAAAGCAAAAGGTTTACTAAATTCAAAGGCAAGAGACTTCTGAGCAACATAAGGTAGAGCTCATTAAATATTTGCTCTTCTTCCTTAAAAGTAAATAAACCTATTTCATTTCTGTTGCATCATTTAAATTCCCTCTGAAGGAACTAGTTTTCTTATTAAGAAGTTGCACTTGAATAATTGTTTTCAAAAAAAATGGTTCCAAAACAGCACTAAAGCAACAATAAAATATTAGTTCAACTGTTCTAGCTCTGGGAATTCCTTCTAAGTTAGGTAGATGAAGTTGCAGCGATTGGTAACCTCACTAACGAAGGAATCACTTACAGCCTTGTTATTTCATAGAACTGCTGACTAACATGCACCCGCTACTCACAGAAGTGTGTCTACTTCTAAGAAACAGTTAAGAAAACTATTCTGAAAGTGTTAATGAAAGATCTAGGGAAGGTCACAGTTTGACCTAAGAACAGCTTATTAGTCAAGGCTCAACTACTGAACAAAGTCACAGATGTTACGTGTGTGCACCTGCTTCAGAGATTAAAGCTGATAGTTTAGTTTGTTTTTCCACAGTCAAATTTAAAAAAGTAACTGACTTTTTTTTTTTTTTTTTTTTTTAAATTTCAGTCTGTTACCAAGGCTGCCTGATTCTATAAACCTCTTCTGAAAAGGCCAGCTGGAAATTAATACTACCATTTGTTAAACAAATCAGGGAGATGCAATGATATATTAAAAGGATAAAGTAGGCAAAAATACTTGTGGCTGAAACAGGAAGCTGACAACGTTGTACAGAATGTTTCACTTCCAAACAGTGCCAAGCTGTAGATGCTGCTGGGTGCTCTCATGCTAGCTAGGACTCTATAGCACCTCATATAGCTCAACACTTGTTTCAACCATACACCAGTTCGTATATAATTAAAGTCAGCTTTAAAATGTATTAATTTTTCCTCAATTAGAAAGACCAGTATTCAATCAGTCTATCTAAATATAGCACAGGCTGCCAGAGCACTTTTGCTAGACAAAAAGATCCTACCGTATGTTAGATAAAGATCCTACCATTTTGTGAGAATTATCATTTTCAAGAGAGCACTATGGAGAGAGGAACAGAAACAAGAAGAGTTATGCAGTGTGATTCAGCAAGAAGAGTCACGTTAGCTTGAGGGAGCCCAACAGTTTCAAAGCTTTGCTGTATTAGAAGAACAAATCAACTAGCAGCCTATGAAGCCAAAGGACTGCTACCACCAGACAAGAAATACTATTAGTTTCAACGTTAGAATGGTCACTCACCTTCAGGAAATTGCACTTACTGAACTATTGGCTGTCTCCCAAAGCTCTGATGAATGCCCTAACTAATCACTGTTGTCAGTTTCCCTCCGTTTTTTACCAAGCTCTTCACTATCACAACAAAGCAACTAGTAGGAGTTCACATGCTCCAGAGCAGTGATCTCCGAAGTGGGGTGTGCATGCCCGAGGTGCACTAGCCAAAGAAAATATTTTTGTACCATTAATAAATAAAACTTTTCTTACGATTTTTTACTTCTGTTTTTGTGCATGTTTTATGATGTATGTAATATATTAGCACAGTAGTACATACATGTATTTTTTAATAAGTTAAACATTGAACACGCATGCTCAAAAATATTTTTACTAAGAGGAGTGCATGAACAAAAAAGATTTGGCAATGACCGCTTTAGAGCATCCACCAGAGATTCTCTGTGGTATTTTTAGTAATTTCCTTCAATGTTCTTTTTGTACAAGTGACTAGCTGGACTTTGAAAGTGAGTGCAAACCATGTTTATCCTATTCTTGCAGGAAAAAAGGAAA